GCTAGTTTATTAGGTTATTGTTTGCATAAAAGCTTATGATGGCACATGGTCACAAATATTGCATAATGTTTTTCCTCTATTGTGGATTGCAGTGTAAGTACAGCAAAGTAGAAGAGAATAAAAATAATAAAGAGGAGAAAAACAAGGAAGAGAGACTATTAGACAAGGATGAACACAGAAAAGGTGGGTTGTTGGGGAGGAAAGTAAAGCCATTTCCCCAGGGAGTGCGTTATATAACAGAAACAACCTCTCCCTGTATACAAGAGAGTCAGACAGCGCTGCATTACAGTCAGACAAACATGGGCACTGGAACAACACTGCTCTACTATCTACATGCACATATACTGCTGCCTGGTGATGTAACTATGCAGTTACAAGTTTTTAGGCCCAGAAAAAGTTCTAATTAAAAATGTAAATCACTTAAATTGCAACATTCAAAGCACATCACATAAGCATTTCACAACCTAGTTTACTGTAATGTCTCATATTTCAAAAGTATAGGTTTTTAAATAAATTCATGGTTACCATGCGTCCTCTTTTTTTCCCCAGATCAGTCCTGGCCAGGATTTCTAAATTGCCTAAAACGTCCGGGTTTTGGCTTTGTTTTCCTACATGCTGAAGGTAATGGCTGGAAAGAACAAGGCCAAAACAAGGACGTTTTAGGCCATTTAGAAATCCTGACCAGGACTTGTCCAGGAAAAAGAGGACGTACCACACTAATAAATGTAAACAAAGAAATGAGACATGAAATAAAGAAGCATTTCAGATTCTGCACTATTTATTGGACAAACTGAAGGCAATCATGGGCTTCAACATGAAATCACAATGGACCCTATTTATCAGTGTGAATTTTGCACCTCAGTGTGAATCGCTTTCACTTCCTGAACCCAAAGCACAAGCTTGCATGTAAATCTAGAGTCAGACAATTACTTCTGCTTGATGATTCTGTGAAAACACAATGTCAAAATGCACCAAATAACTCACACCCCTAAAACATCAGAATTTTGTATATATCTGTATGAAGCAGCCTCTCTTCCTGCCCTCTCTCTTTCAGCGCTCGACCAACCCCGCTGCTCTCCACAGGTGATCGGTGTCTCTTTCCAACCAATGAAGACGCAAAACCTATTAACCCTTTAGTGGTCCAACCAGATCTTGACAAGGGCTGTAGTGAGCTGGACTTCATCGTAAAACAAACGTTTGGTTGCTACTTTTGCCAAGCGTCTCGAGTTGAGTTTAATTCAAAGTGAAAGCGCAGTGGATGCGCGCGCGCGGTGCGGCCGTCGGGGATTTTTACGCGCGGATTATCATATGATCATCGGGTTTATGAAGACGGATTTTCTGCGGCAATAATGATCCAGATCTCATTCCAAAGATGATGACTGTAGAGTTGGACATGCGTTTGCTGTATGTCCTCTTTTTCCCCACAACTCCTTCGTATGGCTTTGGGAATCTGGTCTTGACATGTTTAAGATGAATTGTCACCATCCACCCTGGTGGAAAAACGGGTGAGTTACTCTTTTCCACCAATGCTTGTATAAACAACTTTCTTTTTAAATTATTGTTAGATTGATGGTTTAGGAGATTTAGCCTTATGCCAGATTATGTTGTTCCTGGTTTGGTCAAGAGTTTAATAACCTGGCATATACAGTGGCCTATTGTGTCTCTTCTGCCGTATGAAATATTCAGTTTATATAACAAATGAACAGGGAAATGTTTAGTAATAGACTGAACACAACACACCACCGTCTGCTTGACCTCATTAAAGTGATTGCATTACTGTTAAATATGGACCTCTTTAAATAAGGATTGTTCTTGAGTTGGTGCCAGTTTTTTTTCCCTGTTGGGACCTCTGGAGTTGAACACAAATGGATCGATTGTACTTTTTTCAGTGTTCATATATGCATAAAATTAAAAGTCACAATGTGTTTTATAAAATTCTATTATTGCTAAAAATAGCTTAAACCAGCCTAAAACGGTTTACTGGTCTTACTTGGTCTCCCAGCCGGGTTAAACTGATGTGTTGACTGGTTTTAAAAGGGGTTTTGGCTATTTTTCAGCTGGTTAGACCAGCTAGCCACCCAGCTAAATCAGCTGATAACCAGGTTGGCCAGACTGAGAGACCAGTTGAAACTAGTAAACCAGTTTAAGATGTTTGATTTTATTTTTTGAGCTGGTATTGATGCATTTGTGTTTTTCAGAATTGGTTGAGGACGTGTTTGAATTAAATAGCTAGTTTTTAAGCTTCAGAAGACTTGCACAAAAAGAGGTGTAGTGTTGCACGCTTTAATTGTGCATTGTTTGGAGATATGTGTATTATTGTTCACAATATATCAGCGTTTAATAGACATCTGGTCTGGATTGTAGTTGAGGCCTTGAGTATGATCTCTCCGCCTTGACTGACGAATCATCCTGTAAATAAAAACTAGACAATATGAATAACTAGCCTGAACCTGTTCAGTGCCCTTTTAGCAGTTTCGCTGCATTTTTTTTTTTTTTGCGGTTTTGTCTTAATATAAAAAAAGTATGTCTGAAAAGCTATTAATATGACCTGAATGCATTTTAAAGAAAGGAATGTCGTGGAAGATGTATCTGTATACTTTAGAAGTCATTATATCAAGTGTCAATAAACGGCAGACTGCAATTATGACAGCTTGCTTATGTATGTATGTATTTTCCGTTTTATGTCAAAAATGATGTGACCTGAGATTAAGGCTGCTATAGCATCGTTTGGTCTTTAAATAGTCCAGATCGTGCTTGTTCTAACTAACCTTTAGCACATGCTTTTTATCCAAAGTGACTTTTAAAATACTAGAACTTCATTCAGGATCCCCCATGGTGATGTGCCCTGCTGAAGGTCACACTCTCTCTATAAACCCGTCTACTTCCATTCTTGTGAGTTTTGCAGCCCAAACTCTTAAACTATAAGGTTTGCCATTGAGGGTGGTTTTTATGGTAGGTTTTATTGTGCTATTATAGTTTAAATGACAGGGTGGGCTTGCTTGAAGAAGCATAAGCATATTGTTTTTTTGTTTTTTTTCTTTGCCTGTTATCTTTCTCAAACCCAATGAAAAAGACAGTTTGGCCTTTCAGGTGACCTGCTTTTCAAACTGCTTCTCAGTTTCAAGTCCTCTTCAGAAGCAGTATATGTTATAATGTCATAGTTCAACAAGCAACTGTTTTCTGGGGTGAGCATAAAGTGACATTATCCCGTAGTTTATGACTGTAGCATTTGAAAACAATGCAGCTGAGGGTTATGGTGTGTGTGTGTGTTTTTATCAGCTAACAGCAGATGAGAACATTTGTTAGTTAATATTCAACTGATACTAGTTTCAATTCTCTTTTTCTCACTTTCTGACATCTGTGTAGGCTGAAGGTTAATGACTAAAACTGAAGAACTCTAGTCATCAGGACGAGATCATCGACTGGGTTAATTGTTTAATTATTGTGCAATCAATTCTAGTGTGTTGGTTGAAATTATAATGTCATGGTATAAAGATACGCAGACATAAAACTGTGATGTGAGTTCATTACTTGCATTACACCACCATGTTGCTGTTTTCTAAAAGCCAATCATATGCGTTTATTATTACATGATGACTTTAACCTCCATTAAATGCTTTCTAAATTGTGCTGCATTTTGTACCTGTGTGTGTGAAAACTATTTATTGTAAAATGTAATCCATTGTTCAACCTGAAAACAGTTGCTTTGCTTAACTACTTATTTTGCGTAATTTAGTGTGTTGTGTTTTTGGGCAGGGCAACTTCATAAGCTGTGAATTATCTTTTTGTGCCGTGTTTGTAGTGCACAAGTCAAATGCATTTCATTGGTGTATCGGGATTTGACCGAAAGAGGGCGCCATCTTCTAACACATGAGTCTGAAAGGAACTTCTTTACGTTCTGATTGTAATATTAATGGACAAAATGCACTAATAGTAGTTTTGTGACATTAACATAGTCTACACATATAATAGAGTAATTATAAAGCTTCAGGCTACAAGAAAACACATCAGTGTTGAATTGTAAATAGGCTACTCTAAGTGTCCAAATGCAATATTTGATGTTATTTATTGATTTATTTAACCAAATGCACAATAATATAGAGTACAGCGGTAGTTACTGTTATATATTAGTTCTATTTATTTATTTTATTTATTTATTTAGTCATTTAGGAGACGCTTTTATCCAAAGCGACTTACAAATGAGGACAACAGAAGCAATCAATTGTAGTATTAAAACAACTAAAAACAGATCCAAAACGAAAAGCTAAAGCTTTATAAATAGTACTTATACACATTTTAAAAATAAAGAAATTAAATAAAAATGACACATGCATACAACAAAATTTCAAAACTTAACATTTAAATGAAAAACAAAAATAAAGCTAAAAACAATTCAAAATATTCAAGAACAAAAGATATAGGAGTATAATAATGATTCATTGGAATATATAAATGTTTATATGGGAAGTAAAACTAATATGTTTTTAAATAATGTATCATGTAGCCATAGTTTTAGCCAAGATAACACAATGCCACTAAAATGTAGAAAAAGTATTCATAAATATTTATAATGTGTGGCTAAATGTTTTGTGTAATTTTTCATGAAAATGTCATTGTAGACATGTGATTAGTCTATTTTTCTGACACAAGAGTGGCCTGTAGCTGTCAGATTTTTGTATTCATTATCTCAGGTTATTGTTGTGTAAATAATATTTAGTGATTTTGGCGCAACAAAAATAAAATCAGTGAACTTTAAATCCTACACCCAGTGTCTGATTAGCACATTTAAAATGCACTTCGAGATAAACTGCTGTGATATCTTGTGCGTCGTTTACATTAATATTGATATGATATATTTTGCAGGTACGATATAACAATTTATTAAGGTTTTGGAGCGATATAAATGGATGGCGAAAAAGTGATCTTTATGTAGGCATGTGTGCGCGCGCATGTTTCGTGACCGCGCTCGCGTGCACGAGCCGTGCTGGAATGGCTGAGGAGCGCGTTCACGGGAGTTTGCGAGGGAGGAGGGAAGGGAAGAACGCAAGCGGTGAGGAGTTTTTAATGTCCGCCATGTTGTGAATGGCGCACTGAGGCAGCGAGAGAAAACACACACACACGCCTCTGCTTCTCCTCGCTGGAGCTCTTCTAGTCCATTATTTTTTCTCATTCTCCAACTCCATCCACCCTCCTCCATGAGATCTGTGGCGGTTTTATGGGTGATTGTGAGGGGATCGGACAGATTTATAGAGTAAAATGAGTAAACTGTCGTTCAGGGCGCGGGCGCTGGACGCTCTCAAACCGCTGCCCGTTTTCCGCTGCGAGGATCTGCCAGACCTGCACGAGTACGCGTCCATCAACCGCGCCGTGCCGCAGATGCCCACCGGCATGGAGAAGGACGAGGAATCGGTACGATTTTTACCATGCAACCGCCGATTTTGTGCGATACAAATTTTTTTTGTTTGTTTTTTGTTTTTTTCTGTCAATCTGCGCAGGTTTGGATGCAACAAAATGGCCGACTGTGCGTGAAGTGTGTTACACGGTATTTTGGACCCGTTTTGCAGTGTGCACCGAATTTAATGTCTGGTATATACAGTTGGATTTAATTGATGGCTGTTTGTGGTGTGAAAGTCGGGGTTTGTCAATCCGTTCCGACCCGAATCGTGCAGCAAAACACAAAAGGAGTCATGTGACCGCGGAGGCGCCGACATTTTGTTGGATTTTCTCCCTGCAGTGGCGGCAAACGGCAGCCAGAGGGCGGGAATTCCCGCTGTCATGGGAAACCTGGAAATACCACAACATATTTAATAGGGATAATTTGCCCCAAAATGTTAATTTAGTCATTTACTTACTTTCATGTTGTTCCAGTCCTATATGACTTACTTTTCTTCTGTGGGGATCCCAAACGGAGAATGTTAAGTCTTGACAACCTTGTTTACCATTCACTTGTGTGTTTTTTTTCATACAGTGAAAGTGAATGGTGACCAAGCTGTTCTGCTCAAGAAAGTCTGTCATACAGGGTTTAGGCCTAAACAAGATGAGGACGAGTAAATAATGACAGAATTTAATATTTTTGTTTTGTGTGTGTCAATTATCCAGTAATATTTGATTGCTTTTCCACGCCTGTGAAAGTCATGAGTGTTTCTATGTAAAAAAAAAAAAAAACATTTAGTGATGCTTGTGAAAATGTTTTCTCATCCAGACTTAGCTTTTTTAATTCAGCGTTTATACAATTTTTAAAAATCCTTGAATGTACCGTAATCATATATGAATGGGACATGTATTGGTCTAAAGGTGCAGGAACCCTGGTTAGCTGAAGGCCCCTTGATGAGATGCTGCCCCTTGAATTCTTAAGGCCCTTGTGCCACTAGCATCAATGACTGCGTTTACATGCACAAAAATATTCTGATTTTATGTACAGCGTAGTCACTTAAGTTATATAAGTGTCATGTAAACACTAACTTGATTGCCTCAACCAGAATAAGCCAATATTCTTGTTTCTTGAATCAAAATAAGACACACTTGCATATTTTAATCAGAATTTTGGGTCATGTGAACAACACTTTGCATTTTACAAACATTAAAAGAAACGGCTTACATTTTCAATTCATTGCATTCTTTTGTGTTACTCTAACGGATGTTAATGAGATCATTACCGAGTGAACATTTTTAATATTTCCAGAAGAGATTTCCCTTGGCTTATAGATTTTACGCTGGTTGCATGATTACAGCTTTATTAGAAGTTTAACCGAACCATCACAAAATGTGCATGTAAACGTGGTCCGTGACCGCAGCATGTCAAGTGTCTCTTGTGAAGGTTCATGAGTGATGACTGTTTACTGTTTGAGCCCGTTCTTACTAAAATTGGATGCAGTGTTGTGTTTGTAGAATTCAATTTATGCAGGATGTATTAATAGAAATTCAAGGTGAGCCTGACGGAGCGTGCACACTTGAGGCGAATTTTAAGGCAGTCAAGGGTCTTTTCACTCCTGTGTCCTCTCATTGGAGAGCAGCCTTGTTTTTAAGTGTTATCATAGTTTCTGCCTAAATATCAGTTAGGCTACTACTTGTCAGTTCTGGTGTAGAATAACATTGGAGAAACTCTTCTGCTCTGCACTAAAGTTTTAATTTTTGAGACAGAAGTGCATGCATTTTCTCTACTGGCAAACCTATAGCCTAAATACTAGTGGTCCGAGTGACCTCTGGCTCTATTTTTCTTGGAAAAGCAACTGGAAACCAAGTCGTTTTGTTTTGGTGTGTTATCTGTGTTGTAAATTGCTGGATGTTTCCAGCACAAGGCTGTCGGATGACTGCAGGCCATGTTTCATGTCAGTTAACATTTCTTGTTCGTTTCGTTTGTTCAAATGTTGTGACAGACACATTTCTCTGACAGTAAATGACTGTTGGATGTGGGTAGCTGGTTAAAACTCAGATTTATGGTTTGTTTGGAGTTTGTGGTGGAGTGGTTTTCTCCCAGTGGTCAAGCGTTTTGTCATCTGTAATGTCTGGATTAGACTAATTTACTGTCCGTTTAGTTGTTTAGCTGTTATGTCAGCGGTCATACGTTTTACAATTCCCCATAGATCTTTTTCAAGCACTGACACAAACTCTGATGCAATATATTGCATGTGTGCTGTTCAGTCTTTTTTGGGTTCTGCCCTGATATCTTATCATTTGTATGTTAGACCAACCATTTTAGTGCATTTACTCTCTAAGAGGAGAAAAATGGATACTGAGAGGTGAAATTAAGTGCAAGACGTCCTTTCTGAACCGCGTGGGAACTCTCTGACTATAAATAACTCTATAATTGTGCTTTCATTATCATGTGCATTGATATGTTGCGCTTTCAAAGGTTACCATGTAAATAGTTTGTAATAGTCGAGTTCCTTTGAATCTTCTAAAAACTTTCTATGCAGAATGGCTTTTAAATGGGCACCGACAATTAATTTATATTGGCTGTTTGTTGATGCTAAATTGTAGTTGTTTAGGTACTATTTTATTTAACTGTCGATTACAATTTTTGTTTAACTCTAAGAGAGCATACATTTTTTCTTATTGCATTACTATTTTAGAGGATATACCTCATGTATTGGGCAAATATTGATCTCAAAATGAAGTTATACAAATTTTACTGTACACATGTTGTAATGCATACATTCGCTTAAGCATTACAATGTTGATCTGACATTTTAAAAATGATGTAAATATACATACATTTTACTGTTCAAGAGTTCAATGATTATTCGAGTGAAACAAACACTATTAATGAACCTTGTTGAAGATAGATGACAGTAGAAGATCACATCTCTCTGAATTTCATTTTTCGTTGTCATTATTTTGAGTTTGTCTCTAATTTTCTTAAAGAAAAGTTTATTTTTAGACTCTTTTTGCAGGTAGCTGTCATTTTATCTTCGCTGAGTTATAGGGGAGAAAAAAGGCTTTTTTGTCACATGAAACCTCAGTGAAAGCAACAAATTCCTCCCGCTTTGCCAACAAACGTTCGTTAATTAAACTTTGTCTGCAGGCTACTGCTAGATATTCATCTGGCGTAGCTGGTTTTCCTCTTGATGTTAACTCGCGTAACCCTTGAACACGGTTGGTTCTGCTTGTTTTAACTGGATTTTCTGGGGATGTTGCTGATGTCTCAACTGCACATTGACCTTGTTTGGAAATCAAATCATATCATTGTGCTTTTATCAACAAATTGTGTCAGTCATGAGTCATGACCGGGATGGTACAATGACGTAATTGTTGTAGCATTAAATGTGATTTCGATAGCCATTGACTTCTATAGAATGGGGGAAAAATACTATGGAAGTCAATGGCTACAGTTAAGGTGAAATAATTATAATGCTGTACCTCACCTTCATATTTTTTCATTAAATAACTTTTAAAGTAATTTGAAAACCTTGTGTGAGACCTAATTTCACAAACAGCGTGAGTGAATCACCGCATGCGCGCTCGCCCTCTTTCTCTCTCAATATACGCAAATGGCTTCAAATCACACATCGCGTCTGTCTATAAGCCAGCTGCACAGTTGACACAGGAATTGTCACTTGCACAATCGAGGCAGTGTCACATCGTAAAGTTTATAAATTGCATTTCTTTTTAATTCTTGCCATTGTTAACCATTCAGCGCTTGCGCGCTCTCCTGGAGACCGTGCGCTCATTACAATACGGTAGTTTAAATGTTTTGCCAATTGCTTGAGCAACTTAAAGGTGCCATAGAATGCATTGATACAATATTTTATATTGTTCTCTGATATCTACATAGAAGGTATGTGGCTTAGGTAAGGGCAAAAAATCTCCAGAAACGGTTTTACATGTCCATTTACAACCCTAGGATTTGTCCCTAGAATGAAATGGTCTGTTTTTACCTTATTTGGAAGGGTCATGAATAATAATGTTGAGCTCTGCTCTGATTGGCTGTTTCACAGTGCGGCTCAATGTTGAGCTCTGCTCTGATTGGCTGTTTCACAGTGCGGCTCAATGTTGAGCTCTGCTCTGATTGGCTGTTTCACAGTGCGGCTCAATGTTGAGCTCTGCTCTGATTGGCTGTTTCACAGTGCGGCTCAATGTTGAGCTCTGCTCTGATTGGCTGTTTCACAGTGCGGCTCAATGTTGAGCTCTGCTCTGATTGGCTGTTTCACAGTGCGGCTCAATGTTGAGCTCTGCTCTGATTGGCTGTTTCACAGTGCGGCTCATTTCAGTAGCTCACACAGCAGGAAAGAAACACAGGGAAAATATATATTTCAATACTGTCTCGTGCAGTTATATCTTTGGGTAATTATACTGTATATAAAATGCGGGCATCAGGGAGCATTACAAGATCAGATGCTTATCAGTGGTGCTCAAGATCTGTAAATCATTCGCCATCGGCCTCAGTCATCTTTCCTTACTCTGTTTATGTGGTAAGTGAAATCGTATGTACTGTAATGTAACAGGCTACCGCTAGCAAGCAGCTAACCATGTCCCTTTAGTGGCTCACGTTATTTTATTAGAACGCGCGTTATTTGTTTTCCGTGCCTTTCTGAATACAGACACCAACCCATCCCTGCACTTCACATCCCCTGCACAGCCTGGAACATAGCATTTATTTCCATGATCTGCCATTTTCGCTATTATCCTCGCTTGTTTCTTCACAATACCTGCAGAACTTCTGATGATTTGGCTGTGCAGGTTTAGCTGGCGGCTGGCATAGAACATGGGCGGGTATATGCAAATGTTGGGGGCGTAACTATTAGTGATCCCGACTGTAACGTTACAGTCGGTGTTATGTTCTGATTCGTCTATTTTTCAGTGGTCTTTTGCATGCGCGAGATTTACATGAGGAGGAGGAAACAATGGTGTTTTAGGCTCACGGTATGTCATTTCTATGTACAAAACTGTTATTATTCAACTATGCCAAG